AGCCAACTCTTAACCAACAAGCCACTTCGCCAGCCCTAATTTTATTCTTTCAACAAACCAATTTTTGGCTTTATTAATCTTTTCTTGAATTTTTGTTTGTTTTATTAATTTTAGTTCTTTATATTTTCTTCCTCTACTTTTTTTTCATTCTTAAAGGCTAAATTTTCCCTCAGAATTTCCCTTTTCCTGTATCCCACAAGTTTTTTAAACAGTTTTATGGAGGTATATTTTATATATCATAAAACTTATTTCAAGTGTAAAAGTCAATGATTTTTAGCTAGTAATGAGTGTTGCAATCATGTCTATAAGTCAATTTTAGAACATTTGCATCCCATCAATGAGATCTCCCCTGCTCATTTATAGTAATCCCCATTCCCACCCCTAGCCAACCACTAATCTACTTTTTTTCTATATAAATTTGCCTTTTGTGGACACTTTAGATAACCAGAATCATACAATATGTGGTTGTCTTGTTTCTGACTTTCAGTTCATGTAATGCTTTTGAGGTTATGTCACTTGTGTCAGTAGTTCCTTTTTATGGCTCAGTCCATTGTATGAATATCCATAAGTTTTGATATATAACGTTTTCATTATCATTCAGTTTCAATTCTTTTAAACTCTTCTATGATCCACGGCCACAAGTGACTTATGTTTCTGAAATTGCTAAATTATACAGATATTAAAAGTGATTTTTTTGTTATTGATTTTTAATGGCATTATGTTCAGAAAAATGTGTTCTTGTGATACTGATTTTTTTAATTATTGGGACACTCTTTATAGGCTAACAAGTATCCAAATATTATAAATGCTCCATGTGCCTGAGGAGAATATATATTCTCTGTTAAATGCAAGAGCCTATATGTGTCTATTAAATCAAGCTTGTTTTTTTGTGCTGATCTAAGTCTTTTACATCTTTATTAATTTTTTTATTTACTCAATGTATCAATAATTGAGAAATGTGTTTTGAAATCTCCGCTACTAAAGTGGATTTTTCAACTTCTTCCTGTAGTTTTTCACTTTATATATTTTTAAGATTTTGAAGTAATGGGTGCATATGTTTAGAATTTTTGTGTCTTTTTAGTGAATTAATCTTTTATCATTATATAGTGACCTTTTCTG